CGGCTTATAACCTGCTCCATGGTTACGATTGGTCTTCTGTTTCCCCAGAACTCATTGGACACCCGAGGCGACTACTACGTGCATTTACAGAATCTGCTTAGTGCTGCTGCATTTGCATCTTGGCTTCGCGGAGTCTTAAATTTGCAACACTTGGTGTGCGCAACCATCACAAGTCGAAATGGCATAACCGCGACGCATTTCCGCCATTCCCAACAACCCCCCTTGCATTCTCGCCTTCACTCGCAATTTGTGGTCGATCAAATGGACCACACAGGTCACGTTTGCATCACGTGCATTCTTATGCCACTGCCCAAAGGAAGACTGACATACACGCTGTAACTGCAAATGCGCTACAACTTTTGCTTTGCGAGGTCATTCAATAGCATGGTGGGGGTAAAGTTCAATTGCAAAATGGCAACTTTGCGATTCCACACCTATGAGACGATGCACACTGCTTCAGATCAGACGAGCTAATGATGTGCAAGAAATCGTGTGCAGTCTTCTCTGGCATCTTCTCGAACCTATTTCAAAGCTCGCACTCCTCGGAAATGACGGCATTACTGAGCTTGCCCTTAGAAACCGACTCGTGTGGATGAGTTTAATGATCACTGACAGATAGTGGGAGAGGTGTTTGTGGCAAAGTATCGCACACAAACACACAAACATGGGAGTGCCGGAAAGGATGCAGGGCGTTTCGTGACTGTTTAAACGCAATGCTATTGATTTGCAAATGCCAAAATTCCGTCTTCCTGTGCAAGGAAGTTGGACTCATTCGAAGCGATGCATTTTGACCACCTTTTAGTCTTTCCCAACTTCGATGCTCGTATTCAAGCCCATATCAGCTGTTAGCTGGTCACTGCTTCTGCATCGTGCTAACAAGAATGACGAGATGGAGTTGTTGTAATGGCGTGATTGAAAAGTGCACACTGGTCTGGCAATCATTATTCGCTTCATCCGACTGCAAGTCCATCAAATCCGCAACATTTCCCCATCTATAGCCTCCACCTTTAGTCTCTGTCTACTTGAAGCCAACAAAGAATGTGCAAATATCGCAACGAGCCTGCCTATTGTAAGAAGGTGATGAGTGTTTGTGACCAATTGGGAAAGGCCATCGATGACCGCTTCCTCTTAGTTTGATGGTGCAAGCCTCCGTTCTTGAGACTACAGGTGGTGCTTTTTTGGTTAGTTGGTAAACTTTAACAGGGTAGTAGCAAGCCAGATTGCAGCAAAGACGATTTGGCCTACTGTGTTATTGCAGTTTGCCCGAACTTTAGTCAAACTGAGCAGACCGTTGCCACTTCTTATGTACAAATCCCACTCACATACAGCCAGCGTTCATTATGGCCTCCAAAACGTAAATAGGAATGTCGAAAATGAAGCAGGTTTCTAGCAGGAGGCACAT